CACAGAGACAATCCCTTCCTCATGTAAATTGTGCTTTCTCCATCACCTTTCCATTATCTATACTCCCAATTTTTTGCTTCTTTCCCCCTTGCTGGAACCAAAACCATCTGTTTACCAACTTTACATTACTATGAATCATGAAGTTGAGAAGAAAGTTCTCAATGAGGTGCATACACACTAATTTAAACCTTACCTATTTCTGGGATTTACCATGTCAAAAAGACTTAGTAGTTCTCTTTCTGAAATACACACACACAGAGAGAGATATACACAGAGGTAGGCTTTGCCAGACAGAGTGAAATTGATAAACCTGTTTGCAACTCACCAGCTTACTTGTTTATAACCTGTTCCAGTGTTCCCTTCTAACACTAAATCCGAGATCAATGAGAAAAGCATAGACACATAGTGGTATTCTAATGAGAGGGCAAAACCTCTGACTCAGTCCATTAAGTCAAACAGGAACCCAAGGTGGTGTAGAAGGCTGTGCTGTAGTTAGGTGAAGGTGAGAGCCTGGGTGAGACAGGTTCCCCGGGAACCGGATTATCCCCTAAGAGGATGTAGGCTGTGTGCGGGGTGGAAGCCTGTGTGAGCGAGTGCATGAGCCAGGCTGAACACTGGGAGCGCGAGGTGGCCCAGACGCAGGCCCCTTGCTGGCATTCTAGTTTCGAGGGGTTATACAGAGGGATGGCATGCAGGAAAGTGTCTGAGAGTTAGGGGGGTCTGACTACTACACAGGAACATGAGCATATCAGTGTTTCTGAAGTAGGTTTTACTTTCTGGAGGAGTGGAGTCAATATCATTTATAGGAAGTTATTTGCAAGGATGGTCATCAAAATGTAGTCAGCAAAAATCTTTCAAAATAACAGGAACACAATCATCTCTGTATTTCCCATAATTCTTAGCCTAAACACGGCTTCCATGGCATAACAAAAACGAAAACCATGTGGCCCACAGCTCCTCAGAAAAGTTCCCTGAGAGGGAGGGCTTATCACTTGCCTCATCTGGAGGGTTTTCTCTTTCCCTTTCAGCCAGTTCTTGAAGCTTTGGACTGGGGGACCCGGCTAAAGGACAGGCAGGGAGGAAGAACAGTGCAGGCTCTGGGGTCCTTCATGGAGCCTGGCGGCGGGAGACGTGAAGTCAGCTCCAAGCCAGTGGGCAATGGGGCTTTGAGCCAGGTGGCAAATTGCGAGCCAGGAGAGCCGAACATGAGCAGCCCCTCCAGAGCGTGCCTCTGGCTGCAGGCTTCTGTTTCTACACTAACTGAGTTGGCTGACCCCAAACAAAACTGGGAATGGAGCCACTTCGCTCCTGACAACCAAAGAGCTTTTTCCCTCAGCCTTCCCTGGCAGGATAAAGCTTGAGTTTACTAATTTTACCACTCTGCAGGAAACTCATGGCATTTGTTATTATATTTCAGGCATCAGAGACCCTAAAGGCCCATGGGCCCTCCCTGGATAACGGGTTGGAGCATAACACTGAGGCTGTTTGCAGCCACTGTAGCGAGGGTTCGATCCCGGCCGGGGACCTGACCCATATGGTTCAGCAGATGTCTCCTGTCTCCCCCTGTGCCCCTCAGCAGTGTATTTCAGTCTATCTGCCTGTTCTGCTCCCCACTCAGTCTCTGATGAATCCTCTTACCCCTGCATCTCTGGCCTTGTATGCATAAATCTTTAAAAAAAAAAAAAAAAAGGTGGGGTTTAAGAACTCACATACCACCACCCTGGACACTGAAGGTACATGGGAACAAGCCCCCTCTGCAGAGCCCTCTTCACTGAGCTTCCTGCCACTCAGTGAGACTACAGAAAGGTCTTCTCAAATCAGCGTGTAAATGATGAGAGATGACCTTGGCCCTGGGATATCCCCACTGAGTGTGACCCTCCACCTAAACATCAGAGAATTGAAGAACCTGCCAAACCTTTGCACCAAAAGAGAGAAGAAGTTATGCTTGCCTACCCAGGAAGCAAAAAAAAAAAAAAAGAGTACAAGGAAACACTGAGAAGAGAGAAAAGGTAATATATTGAAGTAGGCAGGAAGGTAATATGAATTTATGAACCAAATAAAATATTTATGTCTTGTGTATTCTTGCATTTTACAGTTTTATCTTCCTGTCACCATATAAAATAAATTGGGGTGATCTTTTTCAGAAAAAAGAAATACCTTCAAATCATTAATACAGAATGAATATGTAGTATACAAACACGACATCACAACCTGGGAAGGCATTTGGTCCACCAGGACATGATTCTGAGAACTCCTGGCCAAATGTTATTTTAATACTTTCCAAATCTCACACCAGCTTTCAACATCTGATGTCTTGGCACATCACTGCCGATGCTATTTATAATCCCATAGCCACATCTGCTCCGACTTTATTACTCCTCATCTCGCCCCTTGTGTTTTTTGGTCCTCCTCACCTTTCTCCTTCATTTTCACCTTCCTTGCCCTTTCCTCACCTCCCTTTTTGGCTTCTCCCCGCCTCCATCAAGACTCACTAGAACTATCCAGAGGAACAGGGAGCCCTACGCCCTCCACACATGCATACAGTGAGACCTGGCTAAGGTAAGCATGGAGATCACACAGACAAGAGTCTGAGACAGCTGTGCAGAGGTACAATTTAGAGGGGATCTGGAAGGATCCCCTGGCAGAGTGAGAGAGGAAATGCATACTCCACCATGTTTCTTTGAGTAAATAATACAGAGCAGTGACTGAGGGCCAAGGTCCGGGGGCCGGCATCTTAGGCTATCATCTGGGTGGCCTGGCTTCTAAATATCTCATGGGGGGTGGGGGGGTGTATATGGTTATTAGGCATTTAGTTTCCTCACCTGTAAAACAAGAAGAGTGATCTGACTGACGTTATATGGGCTACTATGAGGTCTAAAGGACTAAATAAATAGCTGTTCATCGAATCAGACTGAGTGATCAACTTAATGTAGTGTCTACAGATGTCACTTTATACCGATGCACACCTAGAATCTATATAATGTTATTGCATTGTTATTTCAATAGAAAATTATTAATATAAAAAAACTTGTCAGAGGCTTGGAACACTGCCTACACACGGCAAATATTCAAGATATAGCTAGCTCTTCTCAATCCCACTGGGAAACTGAGGTAGCTTATTGGAATCAAACCTACCATAATCTCACCTTCTCTGAAATGCAAGAGAAGCCAGCCCTGTCAGGAGGCAGAGGGGCCAGGCAGCTTCTAAGGAACTTTTATGCCTTGATGCACAGAGAAGCAAACTGGGGGTTAAGAAGGCCTCAGGCTCTGGCGTAAAACTGACCATCCATGGCAATGCACGTAGCACAGGTGAGTGTATTCCAAGCTCCAAGCCCACCTTACCAGCTATCTTTTGGTGTATTTCCCTATTTTTCAGATGATCACTGCCTATAACTCCATCGTAAACACAAGTTCCTACAAAATTTACATCTCACAATCAATGTATAAATGCTTTTCACATTTGAAGCATGTTACATGTGAAAAAGACTGTGAAGCACTGTCTTAAGCAAGGTGCTTGGCTATAGATTATTTGTTCCTTTTGCTAATCTGTCTTGATAATTCTTCCCAATTTTACAGCTAGTCAGTTCCTTCCCACCAATTTTTATCTGAATCCTGAATATGTATTAGAAGACTAGGAAATTTTCATACTGAGGTTTGATGCTGGCATTTATGGATTTAAGCTTTGTGATTCTAAGCAGGAAGTTTCTATACACCCAGTCACAAAAGATAATGGAAGTGGGGTCACTAAAGAGGAAAAGGGGTATTGGGTCCAATTTTTTTTTTAAATGTATTTATTTGTGCATACAGAACTGGGGTACAGGCCAGAGGCTCAGGGGCGGTGAGAGGCTTCACCAGAGACAGAGTGGGGAACAGAACAGGCAATCGACGAAGGACACTGCTGAAGGGAGCAGCGGGCGGGTCAGGAGAGGTCTGCCTCGCCATGTGGTCACCTCCAGGGCAGGCGGGAATCGAACTCATTCGGAAGCGGCTTTAGATTCTCAGTGCTGTGCTTTTAACCCGCTGCGCCACCAGGGAGGGCCCTGGGTCCAATTTTAAGGTTCATAAATTTGTGGGGGAATAAGGTGATGTAAATAATATGAATTTCATCTATTAAGGTGCCAAGTTCTTCAGTGGTGGCTAATGAATAATGAAGAATAATGAAGCCAGTGCTTTTTAAAAAGAGCAAGAGAGGCCCTCCCTGGTGGCGCAGCGGGTTAAAGCACTGCACTGAGAAGCTAAAGCCACTTCCGCATGAGTTCGATTCCCGCCTGCCCCGGAGGTGACCACATGGTGTGGCAGACCTCTCCTGACCCGCCCGCTGCTCCCCTCAGCAGTGTACTTCGTCGATCTGCCTGTTCTGCTCCCCACTCTGTCTCTGGTGAGGCCTCTCACCGCCCCTGAGCCTCTAGCCTGTACCCCAGTTCTGTATGTACAAATAAATAAATCTTTAAAAAAAAAAAAAAAGAGCAAGAGAGAGAGATAAATATTATTGGTCCTCCCACACTTGTAAATATGAGATGCAGATACAGTGAGAGATTTTGGGGACTGCATTGACCTCTCCTGCTTCACTGCAGGTCCCAACAGGCTGACAAGAAGATCAGTTCTAGAAAAGTCAAGATGCCAGATGGAAGAAGGCTCTATGGAGAAACTGGAGCACATGCTTCTCCCTTCCCAGTGCCCACGGTTCCCCTTACACAATAGTAAGACAGCAACCACAATGCAATTGTCTACATTTCCCAACAGACAGCAAGACCCTGGAAATGCAGGCAATGAGCCTCAGGTTCCTGGTCCCACATCTGCCATCATCCTTAAGTCAGGGAAGACCATCAATAATACATTTCCTGAGGAACTAAATAAAGGAATTCCAAAAGCACTTGTTTTACTATTACTGTGGGAAAGAGGATATGGGTTTGGAAATGCAATTTTGAGCATCAAAGGCAGAGAAAATGTGTCTAAAAGATGTAACAACAAAGAATTCTACTTTAAAAAAGGTAGCTTACCTGGTAACTGCTGGTCTCAGATACTTTAACATCCAAAGACCCTGCCAGAACAGCATACCAATTTGTTCCAATATCACCCTGGCGAAATACTAAAAGAAAAAAAATATTAATGTAACTGTATCAAATGTGTGAGTTCATTCTACCATGTGACCTGGAAGTTTCTCACTGGTTAGTTAAGCATGACTTAGACCTGGGTGAGCTAGCCACTCTATCTGTTCCCTCATCCTCTATCTACAAAGTTATATCCTATTTATTCAACATTGTATAAAGTAGAACTCAAATAGAACTCTTTCATATTTACAGAGCAGTAAGTAAGAAAGATGATAACCCTAAATGCTATAAGTTCTTTTGTATTTAGGACAAGTGATTGATGTTCTATGTAATTTCATCATATTGTAATTCTTGGAAAATTATTGCCCTATATGGAGTTCCGATTAACAAGGTTAGTTGAGCCACCACCTCAATTTTCCTACATCTATTGTGATTATAAGCAGTGTTCTCTTGACTGGAATGTCTCCTATTAAGCTAACCAATGAATGATTTAAAAATAAAATCATCTTTACAAATGTTAACTATTGTATCTTCATTGTTCATTTTCTTGCCTGTTTTAAAAATTCACTGCATTCTAGGCATTCGGAGCTAAAAACTCTGAAAATATTTGCCATCTGAAATTTCTGAACCTGAATTTGCCTTACAAATAACGTTTAGTTATTTGACTGGAACCTTAGTTCCCATATTATATTAACACCAACACTTCGGAAAATCGTTCTGAAACACCAGTTCAAATAATATAACTGTCCTTCTAAACATCCTCACTAAGTAGATGGAGTGATCTGATCTTCTAAAATTCTTATCACAGAGTCAGAGTTTAAGTGATTCAATGTAAGATCTCATGACCACTCAGTGGGACAACTGAGTTCCAGCCAGGCTGGTGCTCGCTGCGTGAGAGCAAGCTTCTGGGGCCATGGTCAATGATGAAGCTCTGCTCTAAACTCCTTAAGATATGCTGTGGAAAGGCAAAGAACCACCACCGCATCGCACAAGGTCCATGAGTAGCTTACAAAGAGGGATCGAGGAGTTTACAGCTGGCCTCTCTGGTAGCTACTATTCCGAGCCTACCTAAGTGACTTCTAGAATTAGGGTTTTGTCTTTTTTGTCTTTCATGAACTTTTTGGCTGCAAAAGTCACTATCATCAGCCAATTAAATACATTTTACATAATATCAAGAATTCCTTTTGAAAATGGCTTAACGAAACAGGAAATGGAGACTCAGAGCCCCCCAAAAATGAAGTTTCTGGTATCAGTAAGAAAAACAGTATTGATTTGAAAGCAACATGTATGGATAATTTTCTTTCCTAGAAGTGTGATTGTGTGATTATGATTGCATATATATGCACGAGAACACAGCTAAAGGATACACATAAACTGTGAATAGCAATCTCTGGGTCTGAAGATTTTAAGTGATTTTTATTACTTTTAATATTTTGCAATGAGGTTGTGACAGACCCTGTGGGTTTGGCCCCCCTTCCTCTCATGCAGCTGAACCCAGATTTTGTACATGTGACCACCCGCCTCCACAGGGCCAAATGCTTAAGCGCATATGAGTTTCTTCCCCAGCCCAATGGCAAAGTCAATCACGACTGGTCTAGATGAATCAGAGCCCTCTTGTTATTTTTGGCGTGGTTGGTTTAGGTGTGTGCAGATGATACAGCTCTGCCCAATGACACAATGTGGTAAATCCTCTGGGGCACTTCTGAAAAAGAGACACAGGAAGCACCAGCTTATATCAGCATATAATGCCTCCTTCTGCAGTGCAAACCTCCTCCTGCAGTGCCTGAGGATATGAAGCAAAAAAGAAACCAAGATGGGAGGGACCTTGAACCCTGATAATATCCTCAAGTCAACTTACCCTGAAGTCATGCTGCCTCAGGACTCCTGGCATTTGAGTAATAGATTTTTTTCTTTCTTGTATGAGTCATTGATTATCCAAACAGTTAGATGGGAGTTTTCTGTTAGCTGCAGCATAAAGGATCCCAACAGATGGGAAAACACTTGTCTCTTAAGGAGATCATACTTTTTTAAATGCAACAGTCACCTCAGGAGACTCCTGGCATTTGAGTAATAGATATTCTTCTTTCTTGTATGAGTCATTGATTATCCAAACAGTTAGATGGGAGTTTTCTGTTAACTGCAGCATAAAGGATCCCAACAGATGGGAAAGCACTGGTCTCTTAAGGAGATCATACTTTTTTAAATGCAACAGTCACCTCACTGCTTTATTTTCCCTGCCTTTTAGCCACACCTGGAATAGACAGTATCCGTGAAGTTATTCAAAACATTAGTATTAACATTAGTTAAGAGACCTTTTATCTTCATGTAATATATATGGCTCATGGCTCACATACATCTTTGATTAGAGAAAATTAATATTTGAATGCCTAAGGATATAGCTAACCATATGAATCAGTGCATCCTTCCAGCTCCATCTGCAAAGCAGGTTGCCCTGGAAGACTGTTTACATTCTGTCAACAAAGGAATTAAGGAAACACCACATTGAATTGAATAAACAAAGCAGAGAGAAATGTCAATACTTGGGTTAAAGTTCGCATATTAATACTCTATCTGCCATTGTGATCTCCATGGGGTAACCACAAACAAGCAAAAAGCATACATGAAAATATACTGCTAAGGTTGTATTTCTTACATGTTATTCCTTTTTCCAGGTTCTCATAATAACCACATAAACAAATCTGATGAAGGAGATTTGGGTGAAATTTCTCAAAAGCTTTAACTTCTTTCAGCCGTGTGAAGATTATATCCACATCTTCACTGGATCGTTCCAATGGTCTATAGGAAGGGAAGAAATGATGCAAAAAGGCTATCAGTAAGGATACTTGAGTTAGCCTGCATTCTTCCAGTTATGTTCCAGTCTACACAATTATGACAATGATGAGTGTTTCATTGCAAATATTTACCCAGCCACGCCCATTTAAGAAGTTCAAACCTTTATCAATGATCCACTCTAAATCAAGACTATTGCAGATGGTGGGGTAGTGTGCTCTATAATATAATTCATATATACATATGTATGTATGTATGTTCTTCATCCACTGTTTCTGGCACATGGCTGCCAACATTTCTGTAATTTTTTGTATAAGAGCTAGGGAGCTTCTGTTATAATATTTTGTCTTTTGTCCTCAATTCCTTAAGTCCCCTCAGAGCCACAAAGCTAAAGGAGTGTCTTATTATTCCTCATCCTTTTCTATGTTAATAATGTGACTTTTAAAAAGTCCCTCAGTTTGAGGGCTCATTTTCAAGGGAACCAACTATGTGATTAGAAGGTAGGAACATAAGGGACCAGGGGAAAAAATAATTTCAAAAATTTAAAAATTAACAGGCAACTATAAGTCAGAGTCATTCTGCATGCCTACGTAGTGAAGATCCATAAATATCCCTGACTAAAGTCTTCAAAAAGCTTCCTGGTTCATAATATGGAATTCAGCGAGAGTAGGGTTCCTGGAGAGGGCATAGACACTCTGCTCCTCCATAGCTTTCCCTGTGCACCTCTTCCATCTGGCTATTCCAGCTGTTAGATCCTTTTATAATAAATCAATAATCTAGTCAGTAAATGTTTTCCTGAGTTCTGTGCATCACTAGTAAATGAGAAAGACAGTGGGAGCCTCTAATTAAAAACCATGTGTGTCCCTAGGCACAGGAGTTGAATTGTACAGCGCCATGTTGGGGTCTCAGAATTGCTGGGTGAGTAGAAACCCCACACATCCGGTATCAAAAGTGTTGAGAATGTGGTAGTGTAAGAGTAAAGGAAAAGCAGGAGGGAGCCTGCAGAAGGCTATGGCAGGAGTCAACCTCAGAGTCATGGGCTCAGGTGATGCTCAGATGTAGTTCTGAATCCCGTAGGAGCTCCAGGATATGGTAATATCAATGAAAATACAGATTTTACTTAAAATTGAGCTTATAAACACAAATGCCTGCAGGCCAATAAGGTAAGGGAGTAACATAGTGTAAAAATACATAGTTGACTATAGTGAAAAGAGCAAACTGAAACAAATATAAAAGGGAAAATCTCTACTATAAGAAAGTAATAGTGGAAGCACAAGGACAGATGGGATCTCATACTCATGTTGATATGTTTAGGGAATAATGAGGATTATAAGGACTGCAAAAATAGAACCGCCTACTATTTTCCCGTGGAAAAGGTGTTATCAGATCTTCCAAGAGGCTATCACCTCCTAGGGGATTCAGTATCTACATGTCTATTCATGTTTCTTAAATATGGTGTGGGCCACACAGAGAAATGTCTACAGGGTAGTTCCAATTTACTGACCACCATTTTGTGTTTTCTAGGTTAAGATGTCTAAGATCAAATAAAAATAGGATAGTTTTACCAAAGAAACTGGACTTTCAGAAAAACTCGGTTATTTCTATGCCACCCAAAAGAACTTCAAGATTTGTCACTAGGTTGTTTGAAGCCAAGTGACAAAAGCATCAGCAAGATAAAAACTTGACACTATCAGAGCAAGGTTGAACCTTTATTCTTGATAGCTCTGAGTACTCCCCAATTAAGTCCTAATAATGTCTTCCTATACCTAAACATTTAAGACACAGAAACATCAAAAAGCAATGGTTTATCTGTCATTGTTTTTACTGGAAACTTCGTGGAGTGGAAAAGCTCATCTTTACTCTCCCACCTCTGTAGTCAGTAAAAATTCTCCTTTGCCGCTCTTTTGTTGTGAACCCAAAATTTCCTAATGCCACCCAGAAGTCGCACCTGGCACTTCCTTTACAGCTTCCACGGTGCCCAGATAGAGGCCAAGCATGTAGTAAGACCTGGGTGTGATGCGCTACCGCAAATTCAAGCTGAACTCACCACCTCTCCCACAGATATTGCACCTGCTCTCCTTACTTCTGTGCATGAAGCAGGTTCCTCCTCTGCGGGGGACCTTGACCAGCAAGGCCGGAGATTCGGGGCCCCAGGTGCGGCGAACAAAAGAATCAGTCACACGCGTGTAGCAGAACAAAGAAAGAACTCTTTATTGGGTTTTTACCTCAGCTATATACAAGACAAGAGGAGGGGGATGCAGAAGTCGGGAAGGGAGAAGGCCAATAGACATGCAGCATGTTTTGGTGGCAGTTGATCTCGGGAGGGGCGAAAATGGGCGAGAAAAGAAAGAGGAAAAGGAAAAGGTGGGGGCAGGGAGCTCTTCCCACATGCCTTTTGCAACCCGGATGTTTTTCTCTATCCGGACTCCATTTCACCTTTTTATGGCGCAAGATGCCGGCCTCGGTCCCCAACACTCCTCTTCACCAGATCCAGGTCACTCTATCAACTCAGAGTCTCCTAATCAATCCCCCTCTTCTTCACCCCTTTTGCCACTGTCTCTGTTGAGGGTAAATGCAGGGACAAGAAGCTGACCAGTATGGCAACCCTCACCTGGGTTCAGAAAGCTAATAGTCAGCAGAAGTAGTATAAGCAGGGTAGTGGCACAATCTGATGTGTGCATTTTGGAAAGATCAACTTAACTATAAGCAGAAGCAGATGCAAGAGAGTAGAGACCAGCAGCCAAGTGAACCGTTAGGGAGCTCTCACCATTTATCAGGATGATGATGCAGGTTTCTCTAATTATAACTCACTCTGGGTGCTCCTTTCAACTCCCCTACTAACTGTACAGCTGGTCCCCTAAGTAAAAGTAAATTAAAGCTGCAAGTATGGAGACATTATTTTTCTTAGGCTGACATCTGACCACCAGGGCACATTTTTTAAACCACTTTTTAAAGAAGTTCGCTTTTAAAACATGTTCAAACAACAACAAAAAGAATCATTTACAAAAGCCGACACCATGGTAGATGGGATTTAAAGGTGATCCCCAATGACCCACACCCTTGTATACTCAATCCCCTTGAGCATGGGCAGAAGCTCTAATTTGCTTTTAGTCAATAGAATATGACAAAAGTAGAAAGGGATCACCGGGATTGTGTCACAGTGCACGGTGAAAGGGGAGATCATTCAAGTCCCTAATCATCAGAATTTGAGTTAACCAAAGAGAGATTTTCTTTTTTTTCCTTCAAGATGGGCCTGACCTAATCAAGTATTTTAAAAGAGGGTCAAAGAAGCAAGAGATTCTTTTGCTGCTTTGAGAAAGGAAACTTCTAGGTTGCAAGAGGGCCCAGGGGCAAGAACTATATGTCAGTTCCCTGATGACAGTAGCAAGAAAGCAGGACATTAGTCCTACAGAGCACCATATTCTAGCAACAGCCACGTGAGCTTGGAATAGGCCCCTAAATGCAGAAAGGAGCACAGTCCAGTTGGTACCCTGACTTCTAGCTTTAAGACCCTGAAAGGAAGGTCCAGACAAGTACTCCAAGCTCCTAACCCACGAAAGGGCCAGAGAATAACTATAGGCTGAGTGTGGCCATCTGTTACACAGCAATAGAGAAGAAAGACACAGCTATTTTCTCACTATCGTCACCTTAGGACTTGCTTAAACCACACTTCGTTCAGGGAGCTTTTCCTTACAATGTTCACTCTCTTCTATGAAATGTAAGTGGAACATAATTTCCTTGGGCCATGTCATCTCATTATTTTGTGATTTCACACATACAGATTTTTGTTTCTTGGAGATACCATCATTCATCTATTCACTTAGTAAAATACTATTTGAGTCTTGTTTTTTCAAAACCACTGGATTATTTTGTTCCCCTCCTTTGTTTTAGTTTTTTCTTCTCATGGTCCTTTTAACTCTTTCAGGAAGAACTTCACAGTCTGTCACTAAAAACTTTCTAATTCAAGTTCAGGGATGTCAGACAGCGATTGATTCATCTAAGGTGGCAGATGATGCAAACTAAAACTATATTTGATAAAAATCTTTTAAGTAATGGTAAATAATACCTGGTAAGTGATCCTTCTTAGAAAGGAGTTTATGATCTTGAAAGGATTAATTTTAAGACCTATTTATATCTTTTTATCACCTTTATGTTTCAAATTAATGGAATGCAAATTAACAGGACTTTACACTATGAATTATCAATAGTCTATGGAACTTTAAATGAAGCCCCATTCACCAAAGACATTCTTTCATAAATGCATATTTATTTCACTGTTTCACTCAGTGACGTATACTGTTTTCTTACTAAACATTAGTTCCCCTCCCTGGAAGAACAAAGATGAGCAAGGCCTACCCACAAGGAGCTCCCAACCTAATGGGGAAGGGAGCCACATAATCAGGATTAGAATACTCCCCAGTAAAGACTGTGGCATGGGGACATACAGTGTGCTGGGTGGAACCTCGCTGCAAACAGACAACAGGGTAGGCAAACCTGGTGTTGGGGTGGGAAAATGTTCCCTTTCATCTCTCATTGTTCTTTGGCTGGTCTAATAATTACATTGGCATAAGGTAGGTTAACAGTGAAAAAACCAGGAACCCCCAAAAGACATGAGACTCAAAGGCAGTTAGGACATGGAAGTTCTTACATCATTCTAGCCAAGGAATGGGATAGGGGCCCATGTCTTCAAAGCCAAGAGGTCAGTTCACAGAAAGTTAATTGTTTCCCTGGCCATACACATAAGCCTTTTAGATTTAAAAAAAAAAAAAAAAAAGCAAAATCCTCTTGTAATAGCGCTCTTTCTGGTACAGTTTAGGAAGATGTAAAATTTTTTCCAGAGTGCTAAGTCTGATTGCCTTCACTTCAAAATAATCCTAAAAGTGACACACGTGCTCCCCTGCCATAGAACTCCCAATAGGTGTGCAAAGGTTAAAGTTAGCAAAGGTTCTAGATTCCAGGTACTGCTCACATACATCATGCAAATGTGAAATTTTAACATGCT